CCTCTCTACCCGCGTCACGCAACACGGGAATGCCTAAACAATAAAAATACATGCCAAAATTTGCGCGGATATGAGTAAAATATTTAAATGCAATTCATGTTTTGCATAACAAAAAGGCAAGACTCTTCTCATAAAGCAGAGCAACCATTGGTGTTCGGAAGAAGAGATGACATAGGTAACTGAATATTCTTTCATGCGGAATGTATATTAGATGGAAATGGTTTTTTTTAATGGATGCCGAATGAATGAGATTCAAAATATTCTCACATTTAATGCGAAAACAACGAGAATTAAATTAGGTAAATTCGAAAAAGAAAGGTTATTTCCTGTGGATTGAGTACCTAAGAATAACTGGTTGTTCTGAGAAAAGAGTTGAGAAACGATTTCAAACCCAGAAAAAGCAGATATAATAACTCTGCAATATAACAGTAATGACTGAAATAATTCAAAATTAATCCGATGTTAAGTAAAATTAAAAAGGAGGAAATAAACATATGAAAGTCAAGCCTATGAAAATATAGAAAAGGAAAATGGGGGGAAAAAATTATTTTAACGATTATATTATGCTTGCTATTATTGAAGCATTAAACGGACACAGAAATTTTCAACGATATTTTTTAACCAATTGACATAAACACGTGATATACATCTAGTAACTTTCCATTTATTTTTTAACATATAAACAAACCTTATTTAATAATATCTAGCTTACTGTTTCTTTCTGAGAAAGAATATATTTAGAGATAGAATAAAACCATATTAAGGAGTAAAATACATAATGGAAATTTACAAGCAACGAATCTGCAGCCAAAATATGAACATTAGATAATATCACATACTAAAAAGCCGCTGACTTATTAAAAATAACTAAAACTAAATAGAGCTCTTCAACATTTGTAATTGCAAATATGCAATCAAAAAATATGACCAATACCAGATTCATCAATCTTACAACAAACAAGGAGGTAACTTTATATAAAAAGAAACCAAGTATGTGCATGCATAAAACGAAAAAAGAAATTATCAAAAAGAAGCAAAGAGCAATTAGTACGTGTATGACGAAATCAGAAAAAATAGCAATATATATACAAGAGAACTGTTATATATATTTTTTCATGTTACGATTACATGGCATTTAATATCATATCACAGCAAATAATGTTAAACAATTGAATTAAAAAGCATATTAGAGTCTCAAGCCCGCAGTGATCGATATAAATAAAAATATATAGAATTCACACAACACACACATAAATACCTTCCGCAAATATTAACCTTTAGAAACTTTTTCTGTAATGTTGCAAGTATTTAAGATTTTTTATGATATAAAAACATTTATTTATTTTATTTGTTTTTAATTATGTATTGTTTAAGGACAAATTATTACCGTTTCTAAATTGTTATTTCATCAAAGATTTTCAGTCACAAAACATGAAACCATAACTAATACGATATTGGAATAAATGCAGTACATTTTAATATTATTTCGATTTATCTTTTTTTAAAAAAATAGTTTAAAGTGGAAGCACCACACAGATCCTTTATCAGATCCTGCATTCAACCTTTAACGCTAACACTTTGGAAAAAATACCGAGAGAGACATAACATACATCTTAAAAAATTTCCAAGCAACTCTTAAAATTTATAAAAATTGAAAAAAATGTATATTTCTCCTAAATTTTAAAACAAAATTGATATTTAAAGGCATTGTAACTTCTGTAGAAATCAAAGATGAAAATTTTAGATAGATATTGAAATAGAAATTGGGATCATTTAAGCTTAAAAAAAATTTAAAAAATCCGAGCTCAATTCTCGAAATTAAAAAGACTATTTGCTACCTTTTTATTTTAGGATTAAATTGCTTTAAAAAATAAATTCAACGAACAGTTTCCACGAGTGTTAATGGATGGTCGAGTAGCTCATGTGGACTTTACAGATTCTGAATCACATTTTACATCAAAACAGATTATGAATATTTTTTTTTATTATTTTTAAGTCCTTTATCACAAACACGATTATTTTTTTTTTTAATCTGACGCATTAAAAAAGTCACGTTTTTTTTTCTTACGATAATCTCCACAATTTTTCCAGGAACTGATTTCTCGACACATGAATTCCCCTTCGCCTTCCCTCCCACTTAATCCGAACTTTTGACAAACGGTAGAAATAAAGAGTTTTGTTCTTTGTTGGGTTTAGTTTCTTACAAAAAAAAAAAGAAGAAAAAGAAAAGAAGTAGAACCGGGCATCGATAATTGAAAGGATTTCAGACTATTATTCTGATGCAGTCTAGTCTTTAATCCTTCGAAACAAAACTATCATAAATATAAAAAAAATTAAAAAAGAAGGGAGAGGATCAGACTTTTTTCCACCGTTATATTATTTTTATCCTCGCACCTTGAACAATAAAGACATAATGGGAATTCGTTTTATTGCACTTAAACTGCCTAGGTATTGAGGCTTAAGGAGAGGTCGGGAGGGCAGTGTTTGGTATGACTTTATTCATTTAACATTAAATCTCTTGGATAAAAGTACTTATTCAACGCATAACGATAACGATATATGCGATTTGCATGGTTAATCGATTGTTTGTTTATTAAAATAGCATCCACAAAAGCAACACGAGGGCTGTAGGCGACGAACGTCGTAATTTTGAACGACGAATTGGCGAGGACAACTGAGCTCGCTCACTCTCTCCAATTTTTCCACACCACGCCAACGTGAAGACTTACAGCCTCAACAGATATGACCTGCATCTACCCCTCTACACAGCAGGTTCTTAGTGGCTTCAAGAATCTAAATTACGACGCGATCGAAACATTGACAACTGTATGCTGGATGCCATGACCATTCACTGACCGCCGACAAAAATGATTCATATAATATGGCAGAGAACAGAGAGGAGCTCTTTCTCGAAAACCTTCAATTTCTTACGTCAGTATAAACCAGAAAAGATTAGATCACAGCCTGCAATTGGTTTTTCTGGAAGCCCACATCCCTGAACTTGTGGAAATAAATTTAACACTTCAATGTGGAAGTTTTTTTTTAAACTATTATCAATCAAGTAATTTGTTATTTTTTAATAACATTCACCTAATTTACAAGAGTTCCCTGAAGACTAATTCCAGAGCCTAGACTGCATATACTGATAAAACTGTGACAATCTGATAGATTTTAAAAAATTAAAAACATTTCTTTTTCCGTCCGAAAGAGTTCATCGACATCGCCTTACAAATATCTCAACTATATAGGAAGTAAAATAAACCGAAGGGGCTATTTGTATTAAACCTTTAAAATTGTTTATTGATTAAAAATGATAAATCAATGTTAAATAAATGAGTGTCAGACTTTCTGTGGGTCAAAAGGTATTTTTTAACAAATTTTTCAATCACATATCTAAGCAAATGGAAAGTTAGGAGCTGCATAGACTAACGAAGATTTTAAACCGATGCATCTTGTACCCTAAGAAATTAAAACCAAGCAGTGGCGCACACAAGGGGGGTGTCCTAGGGGTCCGGATACCCCCTACAGCCCTTGATTTTTTTTTCGATTGGTTATAATCTTAGGTATATATTACGTAAAATTTAATTATGTATTTGTTATTAATAATTAAAGTTATTAATTAATGATAATTATTTATTCAATAATTAATTTTGTATTGTTTTTGTTCCCGAAAATCAACAAAATCAAAAGAATATGTTGGGCGGCGTATTGAAGCATGATACCGAAATGGTGGACTTTCGACCCTGGACTCCCCCCTTGAAACATTTTTGTGTGTGCTACTGAAACCAAGTATTGTTAAATAGTACACTATCAAGTGTGTGTCAAATTAAATAAAATAACTATATTTCTCTCCTTTTTTGTTTCAATATACTATGACACACAAATACAATAAATGATTGATACTGACCTCTTTTCAAATGGTTTTATTTCATAAAATGATAAAAAAAAAATATTCACAGGCGTAGCTAGTCTTGAGTGGGCCTCATATCAAAATTCCTTGGTGGCCTTGTCTGGTAAGCTCTCAACATTTTACGTTTTTTTCTTACACATTTTGGGGGGCCCGTATCATAGATACGGATGATACGGCAGTAGATACGCCTCTGAAAAAATCACTAACACACAGCGAATGGCCCGTACTTTTCTTCGTTGTTACAAGGGTTTCTTTACCGGGAACCCGGGACTACTACTTTTGACTTGACTGTGGATTTCGACCACCGATAAAAATTTTAGTTGACCGCACTTAGCAGTTAGCGATCATTCACCCCTAAATCCTTGGAAGGGGAAATGTCCGTTTCAACCCCCAGCAGTGGGGGGTAAGAGTGTAATAAAAGAAACTGTAACACTTACAGAGAGTTGGGGAAACGTTTGCAGATTGCATAGCATGAAACTATTTATCTTGTCGAAAAAGTATTTAACTTTTAAAGGAATTTCATTTCGTAGTCTGCCCCAGCACGACTATTCTGATAAAAGTTCTGATATCTTGATTTACGTTGATAACGTAAGTACTTATATTTAAAACTATTATTTATTTAATTTATTTGAATATTTTTTTTCGAATACTTGTCTCCATTGTGAAAACTATTTAATTGAATCAGTAATTTTAAAGAAGGGAATAAACCCCAAACTGTTTGAGGCAGAAAATTTTTTAAAAAAATCTCGCACAATTTTTCTTTTTTAATCTTTTTTTAAACCAGACTTTTATGCGAGAGAGATTCTATCATTAATATTTAGTTATTAAAATACCTACTATTAGTTCTCTCACCACTCTCTCTCTCTCTCTATATATATATATCTTGTTCAAATTTTCAATCGTTTATAAAATACTTTCTATTCATCCATTTAAATTCAAATACATTTTTTTAAACTTGTAGTGGATGATACTTGATGTTAATACAGTTTTTCCAAATATTAATTCATTAATTAAATTAAAAAACGAATAAATAGTAACAAACAGAAATAATAGTCCAACAGTATATGTAGAAAGGAAAATCATTCAATGCGTTCCTGTAGCGCAATGGATACCGCGTTGGACTTCAAATCCAAAGGGCGTGGGTTCGAATCCCACCTAATTTCTGGGAATGTGATTTCGCTTTTTACTATATATACTATTTTATTAGAATAATAAAATTTAATTAATGAATAAATAGTAACAAACACAAAAAAACAAAAAATAGTCCAACACCATATACAGAAAAGAAATTGCAAGGAAAATCGCTTTCTATTTTGTCACTTAATATTCTGATTCTGCTATATATATATACATATTTATATTAATTGTAACTATTTAATAAAAAGTAACTAAAATAAAATTTTTCTTTGTTGACCTAAGTAGGAATTGACTTAATATTTTTATATTACAATTTTTAGAGTATCTTTTTAACTAATTGCAATATCGGAATTTGGTCAAAATGGCTTCTTCAGATCATTTCCCATCTTTTGGTACCTTCGGCGCGTTTCTGCGTACAGCGGTTTGGGAAAAGATAGCGGCCGCGGTAGCCAAGTGGTATAGGTATAGGTATCAGACCGTGGCTTGCCTTGTCACGAGTTCGAGCCCAGTACCACTAAAGACCCGCCGTGTCGGGCAGCGATGCACGTTAAATCTGTAGAGAACTGAAACGTCCTCCCGTTGGTGTGGTAGTTAGGAGAGGGTGGTGCCAGCTCAGATGTCGTCCACGTCACTTGAACATGGCTCAAAATTACGTGGTCCGTCGCCAAAAGCCCTCGTGTAGCTGAACAGTGCGACGTTAATATTCATTCAATCAATTGGGAAACGATAGCCTCACATAGATAGATACATACGTTTGTTTACCTACGAATTTTAATATCGTATCTAAAATGGATGCGAACATCAAACATCAATTTTAACTAAAAGTAGGCAGACAAATGTCCTTAAAATAGCAATTTTCTGGTTTAAAAAAATTCATTTTTAATCTATAAAATGAAGTTGTGCACCAGGTATGGTAGTTGATGGGATTCGAATCCAATTTTCTCCAGACAAGTACAGGGAACGTACGCTCCCTTAACCACGCGGCCACAACTACCCACGACCTTCGGCCAAATACAGATGTCCCTTACAAGAAACTGAATAAGAGAGTATTAGGACTTTATTCTATTTACTTTATATTATTCGCAGATTCCTTTTACCACCCATATCGACTTAATTACACATACCAACCAGTCACTTTTTAAAAAATAACAAAGTAAATAGGGTTCTTTAATACATAACTACAAATATGCAACCAAAACATGAACAACATTGGATTTATCTACCTTACGAAACCTAGGAAGTTATTTTGCTTCAAGATACGATGTAGGCATGCATAAAAAGAACGAAAAAGCAAAGTAGATATTATTAAAAAGAGTAAGTACGTTGATGAAGGAATCGGAGAAACTAGCAAAAAATACGGGGTGGGGGGAATGAAAGAAGTTATGCGTGTGTATCTTTTCTAGTGAAGATTATGTAGCACATAATATATCACAGCAAATGCAACTAAAGAATTTAATTACGAGCTTATTAAAGAATCTTAAGCCATCATTATTGATAGAAGTAGAAATATATATATAGGATTCGTAAGAATTTCAGTCATACTGATATTTAAAAAAACTCGCCTGGAATGTTGCTAGAGTATTAACGATTTTATATAAGACTAGCTGCATGGTCCGGCGTTGTACGGGCTTTCTCTACTTTTATAAATATTCCCTTTCCTTCACAAAATAAGCAGTTCTAATACTCATTTTCAAAATAAAAAATAAAAGAATTCTCTAAAATCCTCAAAAAAAATATCAAAATGGAATTCCGCAAGATTACATTGCATAAAGTTTACCATTAAATAAATGCCACACTGATTAAATTTTCCTTTTCATCGAAATTTTATAATATAAATGTGTGTGTGAGTATAATACAAAACTAAGATCTATTAAACATTTATTTCAGGTAACAATAGCTTTAATTATATTTCAGCTCCCTCCATATTAAAACTGACATTCCAAAAAAAAAAGGACATCAAAAACCATTTTTAATTAAAAAAAAAAAAGAAAAATGTCTTTAAAAACAATTTTTTATGAAATATATATTTTTATAACTACAAAAAGTAATTGTGCACCGGGATTTGGTAGTTGATGGGATTCGAACCCATGTGGGGAATTTCCCCTCAGACGAATACTCGGAAACGCCTGCTTCCTTACCTCTCGGACACAACTACCTGTTTGCGTTTGACTAACTTGAGATGTTATTCATAATAAAGTCAATAAAAGAGGACTAGGACTGGGGTATGGCATACGAAATTTTTTGAATGATTACATACGTCAAAGATTCCAATTGTGTGGGTCGAGAATTGAAGATGGGTTAACAAAGATTTAAACATTTAGTTCCCCAGTAATAGAAATATGCAAAAATACAAATAATAATACTGTTGAAAGAAGCATCCAAAAACATCGCATAAAATAATATCTCCTCGATTAAAATTATTACAGTTCTGCTTGCCAGTTCAAAACTGTATTCCGTTTCACTTTCCACGGCTTTAGGAATACTATGTTGAAACATTAAAACATTTCTCAGCTTTTAACCAGAATAGAAGATAATTGTCCATTTTCGAATTCAATGTTCCATCCAGCCTTCCACGATATATTAAATGACTGACATTAGAAATAATCCCTTGCATACGAAGCAAGCTTTTCAGCAATG